AAAACATCGTGGACTACAATTTCGGTTTTTGTAGTACAGGAAGTTTGTTTGATACCTTCTTATATTTCATACGTTTCACTTTATAAAACATCATGGACTTAGTTTTTGTAGTACAGGAAGTTTGTTTGGTGCCTTCTTATATTTCATATAGTTCTACTTTATAAAACATCATGGACTACAGTTTCGGTTTTTGTAGTACAGAAAGTTTGTTTGTTGCCTTTTTATACATATATAATTAAGTTGTAATTAAATTATCGTAATTACTGTCATGTTATTATAAATCTATTATACTTAGTGATATAGAACTGAAGAAGTAACGAACATTTCAAATACTGAAGTCAAAGCCAATGTAGAAATCGTATTTACGTAACCACATAACCCAGTGTTTCATCTAATTAATCATCAATTTGAAATGTCAGTTTTTAAGCCTAGCTTATGTTAAAATATTCATGTTAGTGCAATGAAGTACTTCTGAAGCAAATTATATTTTCTTAGGTTCATAGTGATTTTAAAATATCGTATTACAGGTCAGTTGTGTTTGATATATGTGGTTAGCTACATTTAAATCTATTTGATCGCTATTTTTTATGTTGTTTTACCTAATTACTCTGTTTCGTCACACGTTCGTACCGTTATTCCCCATAAAAAAACAAAAAAAGGCGTTTATGTTAAGCGCAAAGCTACATAATGAGCTATCTGCACTTTGTTTAACACGTGTATCGAAACCCGATTTTGAGCGTATAAGCTTTGAAACTTACCACTGAGCCACTGCAAGACTACTAATTTAAAAACTAAAAGTTTATTTGTAACTAACAGTTGCTACGTTTCTTTAGGAGCAGATGTGTAAATATAAGTACCCAAACTAGTTCATTTGCTTTATTTATTTGTTTGTGGTAGCACAAAGCTACACAATGCATATGCTATCTGTGCTCTATCCACTGCTGAAATAGAAAAAACCCTGAATTTCAGCTGACCCACCGGAGAAAACAATGCACTTACAAGCAAACGATTAGACACATCTCATACTTTAACCCTACATTTAACATTTATTTAGCTCTAAGAGTCACATAATTGGAATGAATTATATGTTGATTATTAATTAATTATTGTACAGCATTTTCTCAGACTCTTACTTGGAGGTTCGAAATTATGAAAATACGAAACAACTCAGGAAAAATTTAACATATTTGACGTTAGAGTAAGGGCTTGAAACCTCAGATATGAAAATGAATCTCTTTTAGAGATCAATATTCATTATTTAGGAGACGAAAGTTAATACAAAAGCTACACCAGAGAACATTACAAACAAGTGAACTCACAAGTCCTTTAGAAATAAAATACTCAGAAAAAGACTTTACACATTGTAAATGAACCTTACAGTCTTCTTTTGAAGGTTATGTCACGTGAGAAGCTTTACAATTAATAGTGAGACAGAAAATATCTGAATAGAGAAGCTGACCCTGTCCACAAGAAAACATCGCAAGTTGCAATGTATTGTAATACATCTTCCACTAGAGATTTTTATTGAAGAGAAACTTTACAGTTTGTAAATTGTCACGGAAGTCACGTGAGAAGAAAATCTGGCACTATCCATATGAAAACAATCCAAATTACAAAATATTTCAATAGTCCCACACTAGAGACTTTTATTTAAGAGAAAATGAGCAAATTTAGTGACTAAACTATTGTTCTCGATAAACTTACCCAGATAAAGTTGTGGTAGAATTTCACTGGAAAGTTTGTTTTCTAGAAAGGTAATCGTTCCAACGTATAACAAAATGTAAAATCTTTCTCTTAGTCACGTTACCCAGGCAGAGACTGTGTAATGAATAATGTGTTATATGTGGAGAGTTTCTTAAGTTAGAGAAAATTAACGTTTTTAAACTACAGGAAAATATTTATCCTGCTATATATATACCCAGGTAATAACGTTTTGCACGAATAAAGTAATATCCACATTAGATTTCTTCAGTACTTAAGATTACTTTTACCTTAAATATGCACTATTTATTAGTAGTCTGCATACATGTAATACAACGTAAGTGGATATAGAATAAGTTTCATCATACAAAAACCAGAAGTAACACGATCTCGGAGTAACTTCAAACCCTAGTAACTGATGAATTAATGAAGACATATTACTGGGTAAAATATTCAATATGGTTCCCTATCCATCCACCCGTGTCGTTCAGTAAGCCCCGAAACATAACCAACTACTGAAGTTTCGCTTTATTGATAGAAGTGCTTATGATAAAAAGTGTCTCTTACTAATTACATTAGCACGTGAGAAACAAAACATTGTTGTAATTCCTTATGCAGCCTCTAGGACATTTAGGAGTAGGATATTAGTCTTTTTTAACTGAAAAAACAAAATTCAATAGGGGAGTTGATGAACTATGGTATTCCAATAAGAATATCTGATGATTATTAATACAAGGATTCTTAAAAGGTCGACGTTTAACAAGGTAAGTAGGTGATAGAAGGGAAGTGTTCCTAATGACGTCTAACGTCTTTTATGGTATCTCATGTAAGGATGTGTTCTTACGAGACATCCAACGTTTTACAGCGAATATGTTGTATATTATAGTTTCCACTAGCATCTGACATGAATCTTTATATCTTCCAGCTATCTGGCGAAATACCATATTTCTATGTACAAGATTCTGTGGCACATTCAACGCTCTACAATGTATTTGGTGTGTATTAACGTTGCTGTTAATAAATGTTTCCTAACTACCTGGTAAAATATCATATTTATACAATGATGGAAAATTTATTACATCACCCATTTTTTTCACATTTTTCTTTGGAATCATCGTCTGTTTTGAGACCCTGATGCATGTAGGTGCAATACTGTCTAATTATTACATCAGCAGCTTTATATGGTGCCTGGGTTTTGCATCAGCAGTTGTTGTTTTTTGGCTATAAATAGAGGTTCTTATTGAAAGTCAGTTCAGAAAGTTATCTACTACAACGTGTGTGTGATGCTACCATGTACCATGGACAAGGGTTACAAATTAGCTCAAAGAGGGACTTTAAATGGTTTCAGTGACCTCTGAAGTTTCCTGCCGTGGTCTTTTGAGATATGTGGATGACAGTCAACGGTTAAGTAAGTTCGTGTGCTTCAGAACACAATCGTAAGCTGCAGTGGAAGCTTTCTTCCTACTTCTTTTCTTTCGCCACTCCACACAGCCAGTCTCTCTATGTCTCTGCACCCAGCTGCTCACAGTAAACTGATTAAATTTAACTCTTCCAGCGGTTTGCTTTTTAATGTTTTCCAGATATTTGTAAAATATCATATTTATATGTACAGGATTCTATGGAAAGTTCAATACAGCGTATTTTATTCATAGTAGTTTTCCCAATGATACTTTATTAATGTTTTCCAGATATTTGTAAAATATCATATTTATATGTACAGGATTCTATGGAAAGTTCAATACAGCGTATTTTATTCATAGTAGTTTTCCCAATGATACTTTCCCATGTTCTCCAGTGTTATCTGTTGAAATATCTTATTCACATGTATAGCATACAGTGTATTTGATGCTGACTGGACTGAAGCAATGTGGAGCAAAGTGATCTTCTCAGATGAATCAAAGTTCAACCTGTACGTGTGTGATGGGAAACACTTTGTACGATGTCGATGTACAGAAACAGACTCTGTTACCACTTTTGTCAGTTGCATTAGTATTCTTTAGTCTAGGTTTTCTTACTCAGAGAACACTTTAGTATTGTCAAGTATTTGTTGATCATCTGCTGTATTGTTTGTTTGGAATTAAGCACAAAGCTACACAATGGACTGTCTATGCTATGCCCACCACGGATATCGAAAGCCGGTTTCTATCGTTGTAAGTCCGCAGACATACCGCTGTGCCACTGGGGGGGGGGGGGTATCTGCTGTAATACATTTGTCATGGTTCGTTTGTTAATAATGATGCTGTTTGGATGACAGAAATATGAGTCAGTTTACACCACACAATGTCCATAATCGTTTAACCCACTAGTTCTTACACTTCCGTAATGTACAATCTCGTAAAATATTACAAAAACTAAGAAAAGTGTCAAAACATTAGGTGATGCAATAACTTTATATAGAGGATTCTTTGGAATGTCCGAGACAGCGTATTTTATGCATATCTTATTATAATGGAGCTTGTGATGTATACGTCCAAAACTCGGAAAGTACCGCACCGATCATCACCAATCGTAACTGGATAATATTTTTATAACTAGGCAGTATTTTTATCGCTGAGCAGTAAACAAAACAACTGAAATTTCCAAAAAAAATTATATGTTTCAGATTTAACCAATAAAAATTACAAAATAAAATAAGTTTCAAATATAAAACAATCAAAAAACAAACTTAAAAAAATTATTTGTCTTTATTTAGTGAAAATCTCCTGAGTGTTGCAACAGAAAACAGGCAGTTTCATTGATAATTGCGTCTGCAAAGAAATACTTTAATAAAATCTACTTTGTGATGTAATGTTGTGATGATAGCTCATTTTTAAACTAAAATTTCAATAAAATCCTTTTTCTCATGGAAGATGAACATTGTTGAATGTTAAGTATGAGTACATTGTTGTAGAACTGTCAGACAATTCCAGAAAAGGCCGTAGGCCTGACTTTGGGCCGCTGGCCCAATAGCCTTCCGCAGGAACTAGCAGTTACACCTGCTCGGAGGGCGGATATTTCTGCTAGTTGTCCTAATACTGTGAAGCTTGCAAAATCTGTAGAAATTCGAAAATTAGTTTTCGCTAAATGGTATTAGCCTTTCAAGTAAAAAACCTTCACTGTTTAAATCCAACAAAGAATGCATTGGCCTCTACATCACAGATTATATTTTCAGTTATACAACCGGTGAAAAGAAACCTGTAAAACGAATATCAACAACACCAGCAAACAATCATTGAAGTACCTTATAAAATTATTTACAATTATCATTCATGATACTCGTCACTCATTTATGGACAAAACAACACACACACACAGGGTTTGGGTTATCAATGTGCAAAATATCTCATGTGAAAAACTATACTGAGATTTCTTATAGAAAAAAACTATTGAAACACTAATTAATTTAGGCTCAGTTATTTTAAACATTATCGTTCTGATATTAGAGAATTTTTTTATGATGACGTATTTCAGAAATATATATTTTTTTTGTTGTTTTTCTTTCTTACGTTTCATTATATTTTGATGTCATTTGAGAGCTATCTGCGCTAACCGTCCCTAATTTAGTAGTGGTAGACTAGAGGAAGGCAGCTAGTCAACATCACTCACCGCCAACTCTTGGGCTATTCCTTTACCAACAAATAGTGGGATTGACCGCCACATTATAACGCCCCCACGGCTGAAAGGGCGAGTATGTTCAGTGTGACAGGGTTCGAATCCGCAACCCTCAAATTGCGAATCTAGCGCCCTAACCACTAGGCCATGTCAAGCTTTTCGCATTTCTAAAGTGTTTAACGTGCCCATTTTTTTTATCAACAAATATTAACATGAAGATTAAATATGCAAATACTGACCACCCATTTTGGGGTAAAAAAACTAACTCCTAAATTATTTATGCGTTATTTAATATAAAGTATTTAAAAATCAATAATTTGTAACTTGGACATGGAGAAAGTGGCTATAAAAGATATGAAGTGGAATAATACTTGTATGAAATATGTACATTTTGTTTGTTATTTTAATGAATTTTAGTGTATTTAGCGCAAAACAGAACAATGAGATACCTGTGCTGTGTCCTCCATGGGGATCAAACCCTAAATTTAGAATGATAAGCCTCATGCTTGTCGCTGAGCCACCGGGAATCTAAATTTTGTTTATTAAATTTTCACCAATACAAGTACAAACTTATGTATAGTAGAGACGGCTGGTATGTGTATTAAAAACTTTAATTAAAATAAAGTACAATAACAACGTTTCGACCTTCCTAGGTCATCTTCAGGTTAACAAAGACAGTTTGAAACTGACCGTTACTGGGCACATGTCTTAGGGACAAGAGTGTGAACAGGTACGAGATTGTAGGGGGCGTAGCAGTTAGATATTAGGTGATTAATATTCAAGAACTCAAACCAAAATTGAATCAACATAAAGGAACACCTTTATACCTATATTAATCACATAATATAACCTATTATAAATTTAACAACTAATATAACAGAATATCATGAAGCACGATAGGAATTTCACAAAAATCCTAATAGAACATACTGGCATAAAACATCTTAAAAAGCAGACTTGTTCTTGAAACAATAACACTCAAGACCTTCTATCTCAATGACTATAAGGCTGCTAAAATATTGATAATGGCAAAAAAGTTGATTTTCCGATTGTTAGACAAAATTCATCCATTTGTGCTTTATATCATTATTATTATTCTTGTTTCACAAGCCTACGAAGGAAATGGCTATAAATATTTTATTCAAACCTACTAAAAAAACTCCTGTGCAGGTCATAGGACCATTTTTAGGTTGATTCTTGAAAGTAGCGACGAAAAACTGATAAAATCTCACTTTCTCTGGCCAAGTTTCTCTTTGAAGCCGTTCAAGCACCAAAGCCTACAACATAAAAGGCTAGGTATACTGTGCCAACATCTATTCACAGCTACCAAACAAATTTCTGTGAAGGTTGTAGGGTTATTTTTAAGTTGATTCTTGAAAGTCGAGATGTCCACCCTCTAAAGTTCTTCTTCACTACCAACATAAGCTCTTTGAAGTATTAAGTATGTCATAGGGTAGTTTTAAAATTAATTCAAACGCCTTCGTTTTTCCAGCCTACAGAATTTATCTAAGTCCTTCACTTTCTGCCATTGAAAAAATCCGGTATTTTACTAATCCACATTAATTGTAAAATAAATTGTGCAACTTTTAGCACATTAATTAGAAACTGCCACGTTGATGATTCATAATTTCTCGAGTTTTTCTTGTACTCTGTCTCTACATGGTTTTCTGGGACTATTTCAGTGAGTTTTCTAACAGCAGACGATTACCATAGTAGACTTCTATGTCTACAGTACTTATCAATTTTAGTCGAGTCAAATATGGATTTGTAGATTGAGAAAATAATGTAGACACTAATTCTAGCTTAGTTTGTTTACTTTTTTAGAGTACCTAGTTGTAGGCTTGAAAATATAATATTTTTGATTCAGCTTGTTTCTGTACTTTTTTGACGATCCCTATTCCCCTTTTTAAATCAACAATTTTTAATTATCTTGTGATACAACTAAATCTCCATATATTCGCTGAATTCAAAGTTCGATCAAATAATCAGGCTCAAAAACAACAGGGCATAAAAATAAAATTACTGGGATACACACCACAGAGCTGGGTATGATAGAATGTATCTTAGCGGAAGAGTCATCTACAGGATAGCTCCATCACAGAAGTGGAGGTACACCTTTCTTCATATTTTGCTTCAATTTAGAATTTTCACATGTGTAATGCGAGTGATAAAGCCCACAATGTTCCACACCTAAAATAATCTTTACCAGCTTGAGCTTGTAGTTGTTCTAAATATTATGAATAGAAATAAATTAGGATTATCTGTTAAACTGAATAGAAATACAAACATCATAAAACAGGTTATAAAAGACAGGCCACTGTATATATTAAAGATATTCAACTATAGAAAAAGATATTAAGTAACAGGTTACCTTGAACATAAAACATTTTTTAAAATAGCAAACAGTAAATGTTGTAGCTGAATCATCTGCGCGTATATAAACCTTACAAAACATACTGCCATTACAGACATCCAGGCTTAATTAACCTTTACTTGCTTTGCAAGTTAGAGATCTTTTATAGCATCATTAATGTCAGATACATCAAGGTTATCATCCCTATAAGCAGAAGTAATTAAATATGGTCACCTAACTAACTTAAGAATTCAAATGAAGAATACGTTCGTACCACCGTAGTTGTTAGCTATGTATCTAGCGATAAAAATTATATTTCATGAATTTAACAGTGTTCAAAACATAACATTTCAATCGTTCGTCACCTGTTCAGAATGATAAAAACGAGATCTGTCTATGATATTATGTTTCATATAAAAACAAAATGTTGTGCACGAAATGATTTGAAACTTGGCTGTTTCAGCATTTGCAAAGATAGAAAAACGAATATAACTTAAACTGTACTCCACATTTATAGCAAAGGGTGGATCCTTTAAACAAAAAGTTCAATATGCGACACCTAGTTGTCGTGTTCTTATCAAGTATTCGATTTTAAATTACGTGGTGGTGTCTCCTACCTCGCCCTAAACCAAAATTAATGAACGTTAGGCCCCCAACGTCTATGCAATGGGTCAGTAACCGTTCAAGGTTAAGGCTAGCACTAAGAAAAGCTATCAGCCCAAGAAATTCAAAGAAAAATATTAGATTAAAAGTAATGCGTTGATTCATTGATAAACTATTCACGTTGTTTATCAGAGACATTTTTTGAATTATTAAATAGAAGTCCATGCTCGCACGTGTTGATTCGAAGTCACCTGTGCTCGGAGGAAGAAAAAGATTAATACCTGCTGATGACTGGTTGCGGCAAGGTTTAATTAGTGAATTCTAATTTTTATTCTGCTTCTTTTTTCTTCTTTCCTTGTTGTTGATGTTTAAACATCCATCAGTAAAAGAAAATTAACATAGTTAAGAATTACAAATGATATTATAAGTATTCTGAACTTTTTACTTTAATAATCATTCTTTAAGATGACTAAAACCGACATAAGTACTAAATCATGTTGTGGAATATAGAAATTAAAATGAAATTGGCATATGTTATTATAAACTGTTTCTCGTACATATGTTGTTTCAAACACAATGACGAATTCGTATTAGTCTCTAATCATTCGTATCGACAAAAGTAAAACGTAGTATATTTATGGATTACTTATTATTAGTTGTTTTTTTTTTTACAAATTACTTTTTTTTTCTCGAAATGTTTGCTTATATAACAGAAATAGTCTCTTAAAATGAGCTAAGCATTTAAACAACTAAACAGTATGTTATTTAGTGGTGTTTGGATTAAAACTAATATTAGTAATTCATGCTTACGTCAGTTAATAAGATGTGTTACAGTAATTATACACAGGCCTGCGATGGTTTTATGGTCTTGAAATGTTTACATGTTCTATAGTAATTCCTGTACGCTAAGTCCAAAAATGATATCCATTTTTCTCCATCACGTACACATTTTTCACAAAACATCATAACGCAATATATAAAAGAAAGACCACAACACGTAGTTTTGGGACTAAAACACGTAGATTTCACAAAACAAATCAAGATGAATGAGGATGCACATTCGTTTGACATCAAATGTTCTTCCCTTTTCTTCAGTTCGTTTGTGTATAATAATATAAAATGTTCATTGTGGTAAACGAAATAATAATTTGTTCTAAGTAAGAGTTTTTTTCTTCCCGATTTCTAGAAAAAAAATCTTTAGACGATAGAAAAAAAATTAATATTATTTTCGAAATCTGCGTGGCTGAATTAAGGAAAATCCGTTATTAAAACCAAAACAACTTTTATAAATTTTAAATTCGCAGGCCTGTGTAATTAATAGTGGATCACCGGTAAAGTTAACAACCTAACTCGTAACCTTATAGATAAATACTTCGAAAAGGAAATATAACACATATGCTTTAAATAGTTACACGGTTTTTGAAAAGTGTGAATAATACTATCTTAGAAAGTCACGTGCATTTAACACGTTGTTACTCCAGTTCA